AATACATAGCTTTAAAATCGGGGAGAACGAAATTCATGTTGGTAACAGCTGAAGAAGCTAGAAAGTGTAGAGATGATGCTCTAGGGACTTGTACCTCGTTAAGCCCTATCTATAAAACTGGTAACCGCAAAATGTGCATACTAGAATTGTTTGAAGGGAAGAGAGAAGGAATTAAGAGAACCTGCCAAGTGGAGGTATTAGCAAACACGGCATTACCACAAGCTATCAGTGTTTCAGACGGGGTGTGGGCAGTAGCCACACAGAAACCTATCGGCTTGTCTAGGGTATGTGGGGAGAGTCCACAAGGACATTAAGAGTAAGACCACCATTATCCCTGTTAAAGTTACCCATGGGATGTTCGGCATCTGGGATATCTATTTCCTTACTCCCCTATTACCAGGAAGAAGAAAGATATGAAGAGAAAGATTCAATCATAGCAATGATTGGCAGAGGCTTAGTCAATTGTACAGAATTGTGGGAGCCAATAGTGAAGGGATTCTCTAACGTTACCTTGAATAAAATGCCAGTACTAATGAAGCCGATAGAAAAGATCGATATGGATCAATTGAGAGACAAGTTAAGTGCGTTGGGAAATGAAGGTATGGCTTGGGAAGACGATGAGCAGATCGCGATAAGTTAGTCGATAGTGATGGGTACATTCATAGTTATAGCCATCGGGGGTATAGTAATATGGAAGATTAAGAGTAAGAGGAGATTAACGAACGACAATCCAATGAGCATGCAGCAACTCGAGAGGGAGATGCCGAGCAGTGTTCCTTACTCATACAGAATCGGCGAAGAAATTGCAGGAAGACCAGCGGAGGAGGCTGGCGTGAGACCGCCACGTGCGGCGGAAAAACTTCCCACAGCGGAGAGGAAAACATTGACCAAGAAGAACAAGCCATAGTAACCACATCTGCACCCACAGGCACACGCACAAATTACATTACATATAGAACAGAAGAACTTGAAAAAGAACATTACACTTGCATGTAAAACAGGAGAAGAAGAAAAAGAACATTACCTTGCATGTAGAACAGAAGAAGATGAAAAAGAACATTACCTTGCATGTAGAACAGAAGAACTTGAAAGAGAACATTACATTTGCATGTAGAACAGAAGATGAAAAAGAACATTACATTGCATGTAGAACAGAAGAACTTGAAAAAGAACATTACATTGCATGTAGAACAGAAGAAGATGAAAGGAACATTACATTGCATGTAGAACAAAAGAAGTTGAAAGAGAACATTACATTGCATGTAGGACAGTAGTATAGAATTGCCTGGGACAAATGCATGATGCATGTTAAATTATGTATTTGGGTTTAGGTGTCATTTACGGGTAAATGACAAATCGGTTAGGGGAGGATTGTGGCACCATTTAAGAGGCAGAAAAGGAAAAGAAAGAAAAGAAGGCAGAAAGAAAGGCGAGACGAATCGTGGGTGATAAGCAAGAACACACACACGGCTAAGAGACAATGGATAAAAGGACAGTTTGATAAGTAACAAATGGCGAAAGAGTGTCATTACAAGAAAGGGAAAGAAAGAAAGAATCAGATGTGTTTTGATAACGGCTGTGTTATCTAGGTGTACGTAAACAAACTGCTGGTCGACTGGCCAAAGAAAAATTCAAATGAAAATGTTATTTCGATAAGTGACGAAAAACAGGCAACTAAAAGGGACTTTGGACAGATATGAAAAAATTAATCGCGACACACACGAAGTAACCACACTGACCGATTTTCTTGCCGCAGAACATCTTTATGCCTGCGATAATAAAAATGTGTTATCAAGAAATGTTCGCCAAAGAAAAGTCCAATTGAAAACGTTAATTTTGATAATTGATAAAACACAGGTGTAACTACAGGACTTTGGACAGATATGAAAAATTAAAAGCCACACAAGCCGTGTCCGCTGCGCGATTTTTTTTTTCGACGGAACATCCTTGGCCTGCGATAATAAAATTATGTTATCAGAAATATGTACCGAAAGGAAATGAATAGATATTTAGAAATGTCTTTTCGGGGCGGCGTTGGCCGTGTTAAGAAGACCACCCATTCTGATAATTGGCGATAAAAATACCTGACGAAAACCACGTGTAGAACAAGAGTTACATTGTCCCGTTTGCGGCTAGGGAAATGATAACGGCGATTAAGAGGAAGAAAAGGGAAAGAGAAGAGATAATTTTTTTTTAGTTAAACAAGATTTTTTTTTTCTTCCTGAAACAAAGCCGCGGATTCGTCCACGCCCGACTAAGACATCATTGGTCGAGTGGTGATCACGTGACGCACGAAGGAGGCTGTCGCCGCCTCATCCAGAGTGTAGGTATGAGAAGCTGCTACGAAGAAGTGGGGAGGGCAGTTCACGCCCCTCTCAAGTATGGTGAGAAGGTGGGAGCAAGGAAAGGTTCCCAAAAATGGAAAAGAGTGGAAATTCCTAACCAGAGAGGTGGATATGTATTTAGAATTATCGAGGAAACCCCGACGCCGACAGACCCACCCCGGTTTTGGTCGGCGTCCATAAAAGCGAAGCCCCTACGAGCAGAAATCAGTTCCAGAGTTGAGTTCCAGCAGTTCCAGTGAGTTCAGCTGACCAAGATTCACGCAAATTCCGGACTCCTCTTCAACCCAAGAACAATTATTTTGAAGAGCGACTTAGATCCAGACCACCGAAATAAGTTTTTTTCGACTTTCGTCCAAAGACACACCGAAACACCAATTTCTTAGAGAGCAAACAAAATGAAGCGATAAAACTTGCCTAACGGAAAACGACGTGTCACAATCCACAGAACGGGTCGGGACAACTAGACATAAAGTTTGTTACCTTTTTCTTTGGTACTTTGAACTTTTTGAGTTTTCATTTTATTTTCTTTTATGCATATTTGTGTGGTATCACCCCCGTGGAACTCAGTTTGGATTACGGCCCCGACTACTGATTGATCTCGTCTGCCTAAGATCAATTCACAACGTGGGTAGGCAGACTGGAGATCAATGCAGTTACCTTGGTAACCAGGCGTTGGAAGCGAGTTGGGAACGACGAGGCTGATATCAAATCTAACCAGATTCCCACCTGAATCACCAAAAGGTTAGAACGTCACATTTGGGTGCCGCGACCGATACCAAGCCAGTTGGTCGTCACAGGACGAGACAACACGACTGACGCGACAGGCGGACGTCACGTTTGGAGCAGCGACACCCGAACGGAGCAGCGAGGAGCGAACAGCTGGCGCCGCGGCGAGGACGTCACAATTGGTGCTGTTTGGGGACGTCACAACTGGTGCCGTGGTAGATCAGGATAGAACGTCACAGTTGGCGCTGCGACCAGGGGACGACGTCACAACTGGTGCCGTGACCATAGGATATAGGACCCTGGAACAGTCACGTAACAAAGTAATATTCATTTAGTATTAATAATTTTAGTATAATACTATTCATTTTAGTATTAATAATTTTAGCAAAATAATATTCATTTTTGTATTAATAATTTATTATAATAATATTAATCTTAGTATTAATAATTTTAGTATAATAATATTCATTTTAGTATTAATAATATTACTTTGAATTATAAGTAGTTTTATTTGTTTATTTAAAACAAATAAAACTGCTTACAATTACTAAAACCAGAATCTCTTATACTCAGAGGGTCAACTGCTCCGTTCGTGCGGCTCCATATATACCCGAAGAAATAGTTTGTTTTTTTTTTTGTTGTTTTTTTTTGTTTTGTTTTTTTGGTGGGGTCACTAATTTTCACCTAAGGAAAGCTTTGAGCCTGGTCTGTGACTAGATGGATGACCGCTTAGGAATAGCAAGTGCTGTAAGCTTGGATGTGCGTGCGGTGTTATGGATAAGTGCACGAAAGTGTTAATCGCAGATCTGAGTTCCAATTCCATTTGTTAGTTATGTATAGCTGAACTCGTATTCGAGGATACCCGTCTACTACTGAGGCTAGCCAATCCCTATTGCAGTCGCTCGCTAAGGCACATTTGTGTTTGCTAAACACCCACAGAGCCAACCTGTGATTTATACGGCAACTATGCTGAGCAGACCATGGTTATAGTTTCTGGGAAAGTGCGTGATATCTAGCGTGATCAACAATTTGAACAAGGCCAGCACACTCAAGCCCTCGGCCACGATGACCTGTGACTTCGTGGTAGGGTTCCGTCTGTTAGTTATATTCACTGTACAAATAACATTTGTAACGTTTTATATACCGTACCTATGAACAATAATAGACATGCCCCAATCCTCATAAACACGTTGGACAATATTGTAAGTGGGGGTAATATACTTCCTTAGTAGCCCACCACTAGTTGTGGTTTACGTACTTCACGGCGCTGGCGAGCATATTATTCTGTTGATGTTATAAAGATTACCATTTCATTTCCAACCTCCGTTTTGGTTATTCCTCATTCAGTAACCCTTTCTAGGTTACAACAGAAAGTTACGAATCTACCTCATCTTCCCTAATTAGTAAGAATTGTGTCACTAAAACTATTATTATCTCCAAAATTAAAAATAAAAAATTACGTACAAAATATTTAGATTTCGGCATTAAAACCCATAAAAGCTGATATGCCGCTAAATAAAAACAACCAAGCAACTAAAAGGCCCAAGAGACAATCTAGATAGTGGTTATATAATTAGATTGCTATATGAACATAAGAGGAGGCGGTATTAGGAGCAGATTAATGAGGACATATAGGAAAGATAATGGTTGATACGACATTTGAAGAGGTCAAGAGAGCAGTGATCGGGGAAACATCTCTCAGGAGTCTGTTCCTAAAATCTTTCGGGGTCTGTCTTTTTTTTCTTATGTATACACTCTTGTCTCAAGTCCCTCTCTCTTTCTCTTTCCAGCTTTGTACCTTTCCATCTATCTGATTCACTTTCTCACTCATTTTATCTGTCTTTCTCTTCCTCTTCCGTCTCTCTTTCACACTTTTTTTTTATTTATATGATTTCCTCATAATCCGCCATTTTTTTTTTATTCTTTGACATGGAGTGTTATCTCTCTCCTTTTTTTTCTCTCCTTCTCTCTAATCGTCTGTCTCTCTTTTATCTATCTTATTATGTGATATGTAAACCCACCATTGCCACTATCTTAAAATACGCACACTATTCTCTATTCATTTCTCTCTCTCTCTCTCTCTCTTTCCAGTCCGTCCCCACATTTCTCCCTTTCTTTTATTTCCTTCTTTTCTTATTATCTGTCTGATGTTAGAATCTGTATCATTGCCATCTGTGTTTGTCGAACTGACGCACACAATATCTTCTTTCTTTGTCATTCTCGCCCTCTCTCTCTCTCTCTCTCTCTCTTTCCAGTCCACCCCCTCCCACATTTCTCCCTTTCTCTCTCTCTCCCCCCCCATACCACTTTCCTTCTTTCTTTCTGTCTCTCGCTCTCTTTCTTTTATCTGTCTGATGTTAGAATCTGTATCAGTTATTATCTGTGTTTGTCGAACTGACGCTACAATATCTTCTTTCTTTGTCGCTCCCCCCCTCTCGCCCTCTCTCTCTCTCTCTCTCTCTCTCTCTTCTTTCCCTCAACCTACTCTTTAATCTATCTCAACACCTGATAATACGCCACTGCTTTTATTTTGATTGCTGAACTTAAGGCTACTCTCCCTATTTATTTCTACATATCTCTCATTCCCCCTCTTATTGATTTTCTATTCTTTATCCTTATTTCTTTGTTTCTCTTCTCTTTATTTTTATTTCTTTCTCCTAGGTGTATCTCGTCATAATGCTCCCTCATGCTTTTCTTCGTTTCGACTCTCTTTCGATCTTTTTTCTCCTCTTTCAATTCGTTAATCTTCTCTTTTTTTTCTTCATTTTTTATCACTTCTTATATCTTAATCTCTCTCTTTCTCTCTCTCCCTTCTTCTTCTTCTTCTTCTTCTTCTTCTTCTTCTTCTTCTTCTTCTTCTTCTCTCCACGGGAATCAGACTCTCTTAATCTACGGACCATTTCACTACATGTGAATTCAACTTTTCTTGAAGCCGCCATGCGTTTACGGCTCAAAGGATGGCACTGGATTAAGTTCAATGGTTCACTTTAATGCTCACGGAACGTTCCATGCCAAACTCCAAATCCAACGTCGATGTTGAAGTAATTACTCATGAATCAGGATTATTTCTGGTCTGTCAATTCCTGTTCTCCTAGGAGGCACACACAAGAAATAGACCATCTCAGGTCATACGAACACGTTTGAAGATGATTAAATCACTTCTCTTTTCAAAATTAGCAAAAAAAAAAAAAAAAAAGAAAGAATCATCGGTTTGTAGTTAGAAAAACATCGACTTCATCTGTCAATTTTAAGAACGCAGCTCACGATTTTGGGAATGGTATCTCGGAAACTTATAGACGAATACTAATTTTTAGACTGAGTGTGTTTTAATGAGAAATCCTAGAGGGCTAAATGCTTAAGTGAATTTGATTTTTTAGAATATTTCAAATGGTAATGATAATGATGATATTAGCCGTTTCCTTATAAGGAAATATTTGGCATTCATTGATCGAGTAGCCAGTAATGCTTCGGTTGTAATTTATAAAATCTTTCTCTCAAAACAATTTTTCAGGTAATAAGTTTCTCTAGTCACTTACTGTTTAGTCCTGATTATGACGATAAAATACATGCGGCAGCAAGATTTCTGAACGGGAGATTGGAGGTTTTCATGAGCGTGAAACCAACTCTTACTTTCTAGTCCTGGCTATGACGAAAAACTACATTAGGCAGGAAGGCCTCTGATCGGGATTTGGAGGTTTTCATGAGCGTGAAACCTCTAAATTTCTAGGCCTGGATATGACCATAAAGTACATTAGGCAGGAAGGCCTCTGGTCGGGAGTTGAAGGATTTGACGAGCGTGAAACCAGCTCTTACTTTCTAGTCCTGGCTATGACGAAAAACTACATCCATCAGCAGCAGCAAGACATCTAATGAGAAGACTGAAAGTTTTAAGAAGCGAAGAACCGCGTATTAACTGGTGTTGCTTCCAGGTCCACCGGTTGTGGTAGCACCTGTTAGGGTCCCCAGCTGTGGACAATTAGCAACTCCCACCAAACAAAAACAAAACACTATGAAAGTATAAAAATTAATTTTAGAGTTGAAATACCAGCAGTACATCTTTATATAAACCATAACAATACACACACACACTAACAGATTGAGACGACATTATTCAAATCTGTTTAATATACTACCAGACAACCAAAATGGAAGAAGTTTCCTGACATTATTCCGTATAATATCCTAAAATCAAATTCTTAAATCAAACTGTATTCCAAAATATAACTTCATCAAAAGACAAAACACAGAACGCAGCCTCTAGTAATTATGTCCACACAAACAGGTATATACACAAAAGCTGAGTATCATCTACCATGTATTCTATCGTGAAAGCAGAATAACATTATATTTTATTAGCTCCCAAGAACATTTAATTTCAGCATTACATGACCTATAGTTGACCTGTAGTTGATATGTCGTTAGACAAATCAAATCAATCTACTATCATTCATCTTTCCAATATATATATATATATATATATAGATAGATAGATAGATAGATAGATAGATAGATGCCTCCTCCTTGACCTTTTGTTCGAAGTAACGTGGAAAGTCAACACCTTGATTATATCATCATTTTCTCTTCAAGTTACATGTGTTATCCATTTTATTTGTTGTTGCGGTTGGAAATCCTCAAGTGACATGGTTTTTGGTATTTGCTACAGTTCTTTGCTTGGGATTCTGTAGCGCCAGTTAACGGGGTTTGAATTATGGTCCACACATGCTTCATTCGCTGGAAGAATACATATATATATATATATATATATATATATATACGCACACAAACACACATATGTGTATGTGTGCGTGTTTTAGAATGGCGTTAATGACAAACTAAGAGATATATAAGATTCTGGATAGAAAAATTGTGTAGCACAACAAAGGGAAGCAACTTTCTTAGCAGCTGGCCAAGGAATGAATTCAATATAGTCTTTCCACCTCATGTCAACAGAGAATGTTAGCGGGAGAAGGCGCAATGAAGCATGGAGGTTAGCATCAGCCGTGCTGATGGCAGGCAGAGGGTAGTCACTCAGAGGATTTAACTTAAAATCTTATATATGCCTCATCTTGAATATGACAAAAAGAAGAGATGCGTGAATTAAAGCTAGGTCATAATGCTTTTCAAACTGGTGCCAACATTAACACAGAACGGGGTGAATAATTCACTTGTGCTCGGACAGTACACGGTGTAGGATTCTGAATTTCTACAGTGGGGATAGGAGTCTTGAATATAAAGATGTTAGAGTTCGTCCATTGTCTTCAATTGACAATTAAAATCTGAAGACATTAGTCCAACAAAAGCCATGTCAAAGTGCCAGAGAAATATCTCAGATAATGTGTGTCAGGATTTCCACATTATCGAAACATCTCAACAAAATTGTCTCGGTAAAGGAATTCAATATACATTCGTTAACATGAAGCATGGCTTCTCAGGATTTCATTGTTGCAACCTTTGTTCATTTTGACCACGTATCATGAACCCTTTTACGACACTGACAAAAGTTTCTATCCGATATCCATATCTAAAAAGTACCATTCAGGAAAGTAAAAGTAAAAAAGAATTCTGTCTATATTTCTGAGATGAGGTATTATGTACAGTATTTACATTAGTCGGACTATTGTCCTCATCTTTGTCGCCATATTTGTCACAACGTTTCGGCCGTTGTACGCTCCGGCCTTCTTCAGGTGGTTGGAATTTACATGGCAGCAGCCCACAAAAACTGGGATAGGCGGGTACAAGCGGAGGAGGAAAAGGACAACAACACTCTGCCTGCCTTATGTGAAGGAGTTATCAGGGAAAATACAAAGGATCTGCGGTCCATATAACATCAGGACAACCTTCAACAGCGTGACAACACTTCGCAGGTATCTCTCACGAGTGAGACTCCCCACAGAGAGGAACATGACTAAAGACTGTGTGTACGCTACCCCGTGCAGCTGCAGAAAGGAATATAAAGGAGGGACAGGCCGCCCCCTCAAGGTAAGGCTTCAAGAACACCAGAAAGCTGTAACGCGAGGGGAAGTAGAAAAATCAGGCGTGGCTGACCACATATGGAGAGAGAAGGGAGATCACCGCCCCCTGTGGGATCATAGACAGGGAACACCATTGGAAAATTCGTAAACTTAAGGAATCAGCACATATGCTAGGCCACAAAAATCTCCTGAGCCGACCAAGCATAGAAATGAATACAATATGGGAACCAGTAATAAGGAATGCCAGAGAAAAGCAATGATAACAAAGTTGCAATATGAACTCCGGTAAAGACATGCAATGATAACAGCAAAATTGCAATATGAGCACTGGTAAAAATGATGCTGAAAACATTAGGTTTATAATACTCAGAAGTTCATACCCAGATGTCCTCAAGGACAGTGGATAAAGGCGTTGGTTAGATCCAGTGACAGACCCAAAGAAGGTGAGTTCAATTCCTGGTTAAGGCAGTGGAGAACTTTCAGAGGGAAAATTAGGAGATAATAACTGATAACTGACATCCATCAAACATGGCACGTGGAACTAGAACAGTCTACCCCAGTGATCGAAATAAAGGGTTCAGTGCGAAATTCCAACCACCTGAAGAAGGCCGAAGCGTACAACGGCCGAAACGTTGTGACAAATATGGCGACAAAGATGAGGACAATAGTCCGACTAATGTAAATACTGTAAAAAAGAATTAACTGCGCAAAACTACTGTTTATATTTGTAACTATTATACATGAATATCTGTGAATTGTTTTGAGGTGTATTTGAAGCTGCATCTGCGAAACTAGAATGATTCATTCTTTTGATGAGAAATGGATCCGTTATTCCAATCGTAATCGTAATGGCTTGCTTATGTCGAAGCACTACAAAGTTCTACAAACCGAAAATTAAAGCAACAGAAGTTTATGATGACTGTTTGGTGATACGACTTTGACGATAACCTTTAGAAATTTCTGGAATCAAACTACATCACTGCAGACGTTTATTGCCAACAACTGGAGGAAATGCACATTCAGTTAAGCAAAATGCAACCGGTACTGGTTAAAATTATGTTTCCTGAGAATGCACGTCCCCATATTGACAGGATGACACTGCAGGAGATCACAGGCTTGAGAAACGATATTTTTATCCACATCCACCATATTCCACTGATCTCTCGCCCACTCTCTAGCACTTTTTCAAGAAACTTGACAATTTTTTTTAAAACATGAAAAAACATTCCGTTGCAAAGATGCAGAAACTGCATTTCAAAGATTTCTTAGCATCTAAACCGTTATAGTTTTATAATAAAATCATAAATAACATTTTGACTCGATGGCAGAAAAATATCAATTTTCTAGACCGATTGTTTTAACTGATTTTAACCGTGTTTAACTCTGCGTTATTAACATGGGTTGTTTTATTACCACCCCCCGCAAAAAAAATTGTTAAGTACTCGTAATTACTAAGATGGAAATTTGTTTCTTTTACTCCCCCTCCCCTAATACTCTCCTGACTCAGTGATGTCGTGTAG